GTGGCATGGTATTTTTGGGGAGGCAGCAAAGCATTTTAGGGGATTTAGCACTGCAGATTGTGGAGAAATGGCGCAGTGTTTTGGGGGGATGTGCCATGGCAGTTTGGGGAAAATAGCATGGTGTTTCATCGCTAACCATCACTTGTATCCCTATGTAGGTTTCACTCCGGTATTGGGAAACAGGTGACATTAAGCGGGTGTCACCCATAAAAAAAAAAAAGCAACCCAGTGTCCATATCTCAAAACACGTGACTGCCGCCCATGCGATACAGACTGAATACAAGTGAAAAAATGTGTGAATTATTTGCAAGGAAATAAAGGTCTTGCCCCGTGTTACACAAATACATGGGCTCTTATTTACAATACACTTTTCGGGTCCTTTGAATTTTTGGTAGAGAGAGAGAATGCACCAGTATCATATGTCAGTGCTCTAAAAACATTGGAAAATTCTGAATAATAATTTGAGGGAAAATCTTGTATAGAAGCCAAGCATAATTTTTCCTTTATTTTGATTCTTTCTGGCAGATCATTATTCGGGAGCCTTCAAAAAGGAGTGTGCTTCTTGCTCCAGGATTCAGTTTTATCCAATCTACAAACTGGTCCATCTTAAAAAGTTGATTGTGATATTGATATCAAGATTTTCAAAATTCTTCTTCATCTTGATTTTGAATCTCTTTTGGAAGAGATGAATTTTGGCAGGAATGAACAGAGTTTTCAATCCACCAAATGCATTCATTCACTGTGACCGGAATGTTCAAGTCTTCATTTCTTGAATTATCGCTCAGCAAGATGTAGTGAGGGTAAACTATTCATTACCAGGGATTCCATACGCAGTGACGAAGCCGAAAATTCCATCTGCCAAACTCCCGTTGAACAAACGAATGGCCTCCACCTGAGGACTGAATGTCACAGGCTGACTCAATTTCAAAATTGCAAGATTATTGGATTGCTCATTTTCGGGGTGGTAGTCTGGGTGCACGAATATGGAATCTGCGGTAACACTGCCAAAGGACTCCGAAACCTCGTCGGTGAGGTTCAATAAGTTCAAACCACCCAGGGAATAGGTGCAGGTGCTCGCTTTCGACCTGAAACGAACAGAACTTCTGTTTTGTTGTTGTTGTTTTTATTTTTCATTCTTCTTTCTTGACGAAAAGAAAATTACTAGGACTAATTAATCTATTAATAAAAAAACATGCCACAACTCACTAGAGCAAAGTATTTCATATTCCCTTTCGCAATTGCGGAGACGAGCATATTTATAGCTTTTACAGTTGCAGATCAAAAAGAAATTATCTTTATCATTGGGGGATAAAGCATAGGTACACTGAGTGTAATTGCGAGGGGCCTTTGATTTTCAGACATATTGATTTTCAGTATTTGGTGCTTGAATCATGTCTCTATGTTCAAATGCCTTTATGCTGGATCATGATTTCTCTTTGATTTCAATGGAAATACAGGGAAAATTCAAGCCACGGAGGTTTTATAGAGGAAAATGCTTTGAGTTGCAGAGCTTTTTAATATTTTGTTACTGAGGATATTCAGCCAGGGAATAGAGAAAATTCAACACAGGGAGATACAGTATTTGACTGAGGGAGGTTCAAGTTATCCAGGGTCAACTGTATATGGTATTTCATTGATTATTATGTTTGAAAAAAACGAGAAAAAAACTGCCCAAAAATTGAATAAAACGATTTTTGTCAAATTCAAGATGCGGAAAATATCAGTGCAGAAAGAAACCACACTTGATCATTTCTTTTGGTACAAATAGGAGCTAAAAAAGCAATAAAACTAGAACAATTCTTTCTATGCCGTGGTCAGATGCTGAAAAGAGTATTGAAAAAGGAAGCAGAGAAGTTGACCATTTTTGGGTAATGAATCACAGCAAATATATATTAAAATTTTCTTCACATATATTTTCTGAATGTTAAAAGCTTAATTCTGCCGAGAGATGCAAGCATTTTGACAAAATTTTAAACTTTCCATTTGTTAGAAAAATTTTAGTTGTGTCCTTCTTTTGAAACCATGGTACTGATCTTAGAGCAGATTTATTTTTATTCCTTTTTTTGGCTAGTCATGAAGTTCCCTCAAGTCGATTGTTTTCAGCTTCTATTTTCACTTCTTCACAAAGAAATTTTGTACCATTCTCTTGCACAAATTTGAATTTGAAATCACCTGGAATATTTTCTGATCATGACTCAATTGCATGTGCCAGTTTCATGTCATGGAATGGCAATTTCCTTTAATTTGCCAGAATTTGAATTTTTTGTAAGCTCTATTATTTTTTTTGACCATTGCTCCAGAAACAAGATTTATTGTTATTGGTATGTGATGGCATTTGCAAAACCCAATCTCGGATTTCCGACTAAACTTACCCCTCTGGCCCAACAACACAGCGGGCTGCGGTTAGCAGAAATGTGTTGGTGATGAGAGTGGCGGTGCATTGGGAGCCAAGGTTGCAATCCAGGGACGCCGCCGACGGGAACTCGGTCCGATCTGCCACTGGCACAACGTTTCCCATAATATTATGGACTTCTGGGAGGTTTGAAGATAGATCATAAAGAAGCCTGAAATTTTAATAACATGGTTATTACTATCATGTTGTCAAGCTACCTTCTTCAATTTATAATCAATCTCGTGAACTTGCAAATATAAAAGAACGTAAATGTCCCTGGAGTTTTTATTATTATTTGAAGCAGCTTTTGGGTTGGAATATTGAGGTAATACCCAAGACCAACAAAGAAATTCACAAATATACCACATTAAAAAACATATTAAACCAATCAAAATCTCCCTATATGCTCTATGTGTAACGCATAATGCAAGAATTGAAATATCAATCCACAGTATGTAATATGAGAGAAAGTGTAGCAATCACCTCAGTTAAAAATTATCAAATTCCTCTTTATAGACAATCTACTGTTGAGCCCTTTTACAGAAATGCTTCCGCTAACATTTTGAGCTGTTATGATTCATTCCAATATCACGAATAATTGCGATTGAAAACTTTGGAGTAAGATTCACTGATCAAGAGAAAAACTGTTGTTCAGTTTGGACAAACGAAATGAGCTGTCTGTCGTGAGGGCCATTCTCTTACTAACGATGATCCATTAATAAAGCACTATACTGAGTAACATTAAAGAAAATTCATGAAAGCTAAAATGTTGTGGATATTTGAAAAAAAAACCCACTTATTGCTTCCTGTCTTTGACACTCACTGACTCTTTCTCGACCACAATACCCCTCTTGTTCCCTGCTTATATATATATATGGCACACCAAGTTATGCTTTGGTCACCAGACTGAGGCATACCCCGGAACACGTTTGGAACGTGCTGAATGTCTATTTATTCAAACTAGCACTGAAGTACTCATCTTTCACTTTGGAGAAGTTGCCAAATGGGGCAATTCTCCTGCTGTTTATGAGGAAAAGGCATGGTGGAGCTGAGCCTATGGTAATTTTGTAGGAACACAGACATTTATTGTTAGTGAGGCAACAGAATTTGTTTGTTTTTTCTTCCTAAAATTTCAAATTTGACAAAAACAACAGCTGTGTTCATCATCAAGTGAAATGTATTGTATATTCACTAATATATACAGGTTGGGTCTGAAACTGGGATGTTTGGCAAATAAATTCCGCTCTATATTGAAGACAAATGCGAATTTTCATCATTACAAGCATTTCACTTTGATGCATTGATTCGCACCTTGCAGTTTCTTTTGTTCTTTTTTACAAGAGTATTTAGTAATTTGATTGAATCCACATAATTATCAAATATGTTGATGTGTGTTATAACCTGTAGGAGGATTTTATATTTAATGGAGTTCTCTTACACTTTTCTATGATAAAAGTAGGCATTATTATTTTCAAGCTGCTGTGAGCAGTGTTATAAGAACCGCATAATTGAATCCACCTTTATTTTCTTGTCAGACCAAATACCAAATGCAATATTAATGAAAGGAAATGTTGGGATTTTATGAGTATACATATCAGTGATTCCTTCAGTGTTATAATTTGCAATTTTCATAGGTGCCCAATCTTTTCTTTTTAATCGGGTTGGAAATAATGGCCAGTCCCTAATACACACCTAATGTAGAAGGGCGATTTTATAAATAAATGCCAGTGTCCTCTATATATAGAGAATTTACCCCGTGAAATCAAAGGGATTTGAGGAATTTGGGTTGAACTTCTTGACTTTAAGGCAAAAGTCGCATCATGCAGGTCAAACATGTACTGCAAAATGAATTTCTTCAATCTGTGCATCCATGATGAGAACCAATCAAAGGTTCGCAGTTTTCAGGCCGCTTTCACAGAGCGGCTTTGAATTTAATTGATCGTTGATGAAAGACAAAAACAGTAGTGGTTCAGCAATCCATGCTGAAAGGAAAAGATGACACAGCATCAATAAACCCAACATCAAATTGCAATAAAATGGTGCATTTCAAGAAAAAATCATCATGTGGATCAGAGCATTTGAGTCAACCAGACAAAAAAAAATCAACATAACTTGAATGCCTGTTCACATTTCATTTTTGCTCAAAGTTGATCAGATCATGTCAAAGGTACGTCAAGGTAAGCAGCTGTATACAGTAGTTCTTCAGTGTGCCAATAATGGGTCTCGCACTGCAACATATTCATTTCTCCCATTTTAGGTCTCAATACTATGGCAATGCAGGACCTCATGCACCTACTGGAGGTATATTGGTGCAGGAGCTGCTGCTGGACCTGTAGGTGGTGGAACTGCTGCAGGGATTGCTGCTGGTCTCCAGAAGGTGGTGAAAGTGCTGGTGCAGGAAGAGCTGATGGGCGTGTTGGTTGTGGAACTGCTGCAGGAATGAAGCTGGGTCTTTTGTTGTAGGAACTACTGCTGCTGCTTTTGGACCTCATGCCCATGTTATTGTTGGCATTTTTGTTGGCATGCAGTGTGGCGGTGCAGGCGGTGGCAGAGGAAAGGTTGCCAGAGCCAGCCAAAAGAAGTGCATAATGATGCCTTCGGGGTGGAAACCATGTAGTTCTTGGTATATCTCACGGAAATGTCCTGTTGGGGCTGTTCTCACAGTAGTGGCGCAGTGTTACAGTTGGTGGTTGTTTTCAAAATTCAGTTGAAATCAGTGAAATAAAATACTTTGTAAAGGAGCTAACGATGAAAAATTGAGGTGGTGAAACAGGATGGTAATGGCAAGAA